ATTTATATTGTTTTATTTAGTATCCTAGTATGATTTATGCTGATTGCTTATTTAGTATCCTAGTATGATTTATTGGCCAAGTGTGATCAGACACACAAGGAATTTGTCTCTGGCGCATAAGCTGTCTGTGTACATTAAAGCTATAATTGATAAATCATGATCATAGGCATCATAATACATTCATCATAAATCATAAGATACAACACTTAGTGATAGTCATCGGATACTAAATAAGCAATCAACATAAATCATACTAGGATACTAAATAAAACAATATAAATCATAAAGATACAAGCAACAAAGTTATAGTCATAAGAAGATAGGTAACAGGAAAGACGAGAAGAAGAATATTAATACAGCCTTACTAAATAGTTTGTCAGTGTTGTGGGAATTAGGTGTTTAGCAGAGTGATGGCATGGGAGGAAAAGCTGTCCTTGTGTCTAGTTGTTGTGGTGTGCAATGCACTCTAGTGTCGTTTTGAGGGTAGAAGTTTATGCTCAGGATGTGTGGGGTATCTAGATATTTTCATAGTCCTCTTTTTGACTCGTGCAGTGTACAACAGAGGTGGACCAGGATCGACCGAACCAGTAGTGGCGGTAGCGGGATTCTCCACCTACCCGTCCAGACACTTCTGTGTATGCGCAGAAGCGTCACGCGAGTGAGCAAGTATACACCTCTGTAGCGAGCAAGTATATTCCCACCTCTGGTATAGAGATATACATTTTCAAGGAAAAAGTAAAGAAATCGGTTGCCTTTTGAAAAGCACTTTGAGAACTCCCTTTAGCAGCAAATTCTCTGTAATATTTATGCTACGAATTGATTGGGACTGGTAAGTAATAAAATTTGACCCCCTGACTTGCTTCTGTTCATCCTGGCTGAAAAATGAATATGATTAGATAATGTATCTGGTAGTGGGATTAAGTAGAGGGTTAGGGGAAGTGACATCACTCCTTGTGGCCATAGACTCACTTCTTTTTCTTTTATGATGATGGTTTTGTTTTGTTTTTGTTTTGATGTGGTATATCAAACTCACTACATCCTGATATTTGCTTCCAAGTGGTGTCCATTTTAACTAGGAGTGAAAGACAAAGGCTACGGGTTAAATTCCAAATCAAACTGATTCATTACTCATGCGTACACATAGGAATCTAGGGAACTAATGGTTAGCACTATTGTGGTGCTAGATAACGGTTAACGGAATTCAAGGGGGGGTTGGACTTAGTCCGCTTGTGACTATGTAGAGACTCTAAGCTGATTCCTCTTTTGACTCCACCTCCAGATTCTGTCACTCCTTCTCCTACACAAATACACACTATATCCAAATCAGGGTGTCAAACTCAATTTCATTGAGGGCCCCTTCAGGGTAGTGTCTGACCTCGGTGGGGGGCGGCTGGGGGAGCAGCTTGACATCTGGTTTTGGCTGCGACGTCCTCTTGCAACCGTCTGCCACCAAAAACGGAGCTCAGGGGCCCCAGATCTAAGTAGTGGGCCTACACACTCCTGATTTAGATAGTTGCTCTTTTTGGATGAAATATAACTTACACTGAGATAAAGAAGAGGAATTAGATCCCAAAATGTCATAGAAAGTTAAATTTGTGCTCCTCAGTTCCCCTGTAATATTCTCCCCTGCCCCCCCACCCCAAATGCACAGGGGATTCAATAGAGACAATAGCCCTATTGTTTCCATAACAATACTGTGCTGTATCAGTAATTTTACAAAGAGTTACGATGCCTTAATGCCTTCCCCCCATTTTCAAAAGCTGGTTTTCAGTTAATTCTGTTTTACTTAACACTAAAGGGAAGAAAAAAAAGTCCTATAGCTTGGTAGCGTTCCTCCTCAATGTCAGTATAACTTATTTCTGAGTAAGTGGCGATACAATTGCAAGAGTAGTAAATGTATAAAGAATAGTTTGATAACACCTTTTCCCCAAAAGAATTAAATGCAGCTAATTTTGTATAATTTTATGTGGAATTGTCTTGAGGAAGAACTTCATAGCTTAAAAAGTGTCAAGAAAGAAGAAAATGGTTCTCCAAAGCACCTTTTGGACTTGATTTTTTCCCCACGTTTCAGGATATTGATGGATAAGCCCTTCTTTCTTACGTCCCATGGATGCTGCCAGAAAATAAATATGTTTATTTTTTTCCCCACCTCTACAAATGTAATTCTTGCAGCTTCTGCTTTGCACACTGGCTTGAATGACAGTTCTGATTATTTTTTTAAATATATATATTGATTTATTCATTTTAATGATGGCTTCCACTAACCAATCTTTAACTAACTGTGGTTGTTTAATTACAGAGGGAACATTCCCACGCTCAACAGGTACAGTAATTCTCCTTTTTAGCTCTTTTTAAAAAGTAGCTAGAAGAATGTGTAGTTTTAACACAAATTTTTTTTTAAGAATTGGTTTTTTTTTTTAAACAACCTAACTTATTTGTTGATTTATTTGGAATCTGGGTTCCCGCTCCACACTATACCAATCTCTAATCCTTATTTTCAGGGTTTGTTTTTAATGTTTTCCTCTGTTCCCCTTTGAATGTTTCTTTGTTTGTTCTTCTCTTTATCCTTTCTTTTGGCATGCTATAAAAAGTAACCTCACTAGCGCTCAAGACTTACCTCACCTGCCTTAAAATCCTGTTCCAGATCTTGAAGCAAGAATTAGTCGGTTTCCTTCCTCCCTTTTTTTCTCCCTTGGGTAGCATAGACGGATCCCAGCTGGCCCACTCACCAATCGGGATTTAAAGCAGAATGCGTTACTTTATTATTCCAAGTGGTTTTCAAATATATATATATATATATACACAAGTAGTCCTTGACTTATGATCACAATTGAGCCCAACATTTCTATTGCTAAGCGAGACAGTTGTTCGGGGAGTTTTGCCCCATTTTTACGACTTCCCTGGCCACAGTTGCTAAGTGAATCACCGCTGTTATTACGTTAAGAACACGGTGTTATGTGAAGGTTGCTTCCCCCACTGACTTCGTTTGTCGGAGGGTCGCAAAAGGGGATCACGTGATCCAGGGACACTGCAACCGTCGTAAATGTGAGTCAGTTGCCAAGCGTTTGAATTTTGATCACGTGGCCACGGGGGGGGGGGTTGGCGCTGTGACAGTCGCGTGAAAAACGGTCATGTCGCTTTTTCCCAGTGCTGTCGTAACTTTGAATGGTTACTAAATGAACTGCTGTAAGTCGAGGACTACCTGTATATTGGGAGGGGGGGGGAATTATAATTCTCCAGGTTTTCTGGATATTGTCCCATATCACAAACTAGTGAATGTCAAATTTTCCAGCTGGGAAAGGTTCTGAATGCATAAGCCTTTTCATTTGCCTACACCCTAAATCTTATTTCAGGGAAATGGTAGCAGAATATCCTTGTCAGCATTTGCACACCTGTGAGTAGAAGGGATGCTATGTCTTCACTTACCTGGCCTTCACTAGCTGCTCTCAGACAAAGGCCAAGCCCAGTTTTCCAAAGTGCCCAGGGGGAAGAAAGGTTTTCCAAAGTTTTTGAATTAAAACACTGGGGGGGGGGGGTTGAGGTGGAAACCCTTTGCTTGTGAAAAGCATTTGGAACTCATGTCCTTGAAGGAACTGGTGCTTGATTCCCCAGGTCCTAAAGAAATAAAATTTATTATTGGATCGTGATCGAGAATTGGGTTTGAAGACTAGCACCCACCCTTTTACAGCAGGGGGGAGCAAACAGAAGTGCCCCTTCAACAGCAAGAAAGAGCAGGATTTTTTTTTAAAAAAATCCCTTTGGTCTACAGATCCATTTGAAAGTCTGGAGCAGCCTACAAAACCTTTGTCATAAACATTATTTAAATGCATTATTGAAATAAAATGCATAGATGTAACTCCTATTGCAAAATTTCTCAGATTCGGCAGTCAAAAATATTGTAAGCCTCCCAGAGTCACCTTGTGGGGTGGGTGGGGGGGTGGGTGGGATGGGCAGCATAATAACTTCATGAACGAAAATAAATAATCTCAAATTACTTCAAATGGAGAGATTTATTAAAAGATTTTGAGCATTTTGGGAGACCGAAGCCACGAAATAAGGCCATCACCCTTATTCAGTTGGTTAGATCAAAGGTGGCTGGCTGAAAAACTAAATTTAGTGAAAAGAAAGTTGTATCGTTTTGCCCAACCAAAGTCGGATGACTCCTAAACTCTTTATCTATAGACATCAAAATGATCTGTGGACTCGAATTAAGAACCCTGTTCTAGACCATCACGTATGAAAAATGATTTTGGGATGGGGAAGCGGCCCAGTTAATGGTTTCTGGCGGTACTTCGGTTTTTCCCACTTGTTAAATCTTCCACCAGTAACTCCAGTTGGCTGAGGGGTCTATTTTCTCCAGTTTGAATGCCTTGGCAGAGATAACTTTCCTCTGCCTTAAATTAACTTTTTTTTTTTAAAAAAAAATGCCAACGATTCATTACGGCTTTCCAGGGAGGATGGGTGGGTGCAAAGTGGTTGGGTGAGAACGTAATTATTATATAGTCATTTGTCACTCGAAAGAGAATGTATTTGCTTAGCCGTCTTCCAGAACGGTGTTCTTTTCTTTCTTTCCTGTGTCATTTCTTTCCTTTAAATGCAATTTTGCAAATATGGCTAAAGGCAAATTGGAGAAGTGTGGGGGGGGGGGGCCGTTAGAGATAAGCGGGAATTCAGTGGCTCATTCTATATTCTGGTCTATTTTTTTCTAAAGCAGTAATCACTGCACCATTTGAGGCAAGAGATAGAAGGCCAACATGACAGAACTTCTTCCCATGTCAAAAGGAAATGTGCCATACTTCCCAAGCTAGCAAGCTCTGGACAAGTCTATTTTTTTTCCTTAATCACCCAGCGTGTTAGATTTTTATAGGTAGGGATTTTTATTTTCATCCACACAACAAAGAATTCAATCATTTCCTCCGTGGTAGAGAAGTGGTGGCTTTTTTTGTAGAGGTATTTGAACCTTTAGACTACAATCTTCTGCTTTGCGTTTGTGAGGGACTCACCCATTGATGTCACTATTTTCTTGAAGGACCCAGGGGAAAGTTCTAGGTTCAGATGTAGGGTTGCACACAGCCATCTATTGTCTGGCGATTCCCTTGCCATTGACCAGGGGTCTCCAGACTTGGCAACTTTAAGACTTGTGGTCTTCAACTCCCAGAATTCTGGGAATTGAAGTCCACAAGTCTTAAATTTGTAGAGATTCTCAGTCATCCAGGTCATGGTTGTCCCAAAGGTGTTTCCCCCCCCCCCCCAGTAGTCCAGTTGCCTTCTGAAAAAAACACCTTTGAGAGAACCATGACCTGGATGACTGAGAATCTCTACAGATTTTTAGCTATGTAAATTGGGATGAACACCCTTTGAATGGTGTGGGAGTATGAACGGATTTCCAGAAAAAACAAATTGCAGACTACAGGAACCGTTGGCACTACTCAGGTGACCTTGAAGACACAGATAAACCTCCAAGTGGCCTGAGTGCAGTGGTGAAATTCTATATTTTTTTTTTACTATTGGTTCTGTGGGCATGGCTTGGTGGGCGTGGCAGGGGAAGGATACTGCAAAATCCCCATTCCCTCCCCACTCAGGGGCCAGCCAGAGGTGGCATTTGCCGGTTCTCCAAACTACTCAAAATTTCCACTAGCGGTTCTCCAGAACCTGCTGAATTTCACCCCTGCCTCAGTGACACACTAAAAGGATGCAAATGACCAGCTGTCTGCAAGGGATATCCATCTTTCCATTCTCTACCATCCAGTCAGAGCTGAAGGAGCTTCTTGGATGAGAAGCAAAACGTCTTCAACGTAAAATAAGAAAGTCCAGTTCCCTCCTGAAAAAGCAACTTTGAGACACAAGTGTTAAAGTTGCCAAGTTTGGAGACCCCCCTGCCATAAACAAGAGATATTTTCTACAAATCCGCAAGGAACCAGCTGCTGTTGTGACAGGTCAAATTATCACAAGTGGCTGGTGTGTGGACTGATTCTTCTGAATCGAAATGCTCACCAGATGTTGGGAATGATTTCTAGTGGTACAGGGTATCAATCAGTATCTGGACCGCCATACTGTTGAATCAGCCATTTCAGCTGGCCATGTTGCGGGAGAGAGATGAGGAGACGGGTAGACGTTAAGTCAAGGTGAGCCATCAGTTGGGTTCCAGATGTTGACTCGTGATTCCTTCCATGATGACCACCAGTAAAGCCATCTAGTAGTTCTTCCTCAGTAGCAGGAAGTGGCTCTCCATTGGAGAAGTGATGGGTTCATCCAACCCATTGCTTGAAGAAGAAATCTGCAACATAGAGATATCCATGGGGGATGGTTAAAAAACAAAATCAAGATGGCGGCTGCCATGGCACAATTGAAATCCCGCCTCCTTTAAGTTGCATTCCTTGTTTAAAAGGGGTGGGGCTTTGACTGGACGCCATCTTGACCCCTATGACCAACTCTCCAAATGTCTCTGGAATACAGGAAGCTATTTTATTCCAAACCAAACTCCCGTTTATAATATTTGTATCCTTAGGAGGCCAAAAAAGTCACTCCCGGCTTGTGCTGCCACAACAGAATGGCTCCCAAATGAACACACAACGTTTATACATGCATACAACCAAACCAATTGAACACTAATCAAATTCAGCATGGTTGTGTGACTGCTGTTCTTATGAACTGGTTAGGTACGTTGCGTAAACATAGCCTCTAAGTGGCTTTCGGGTAAGATGCTCACAATGACATCTCACCCACCTGTTTGAACCCCATCGCTTGCCAATTCACGAGCCGGGTAAGATTATTGCCTAGAGGTAGTCCTCAACTTACTACCACAGTTTCCTGTTGCTAAGCAAGGCAGTTGTTAACTGAGTTGCGTCCCATTTGATGAGGTTTTTCTCACCGTGCTAAGCGAACCACTGCGGTTGTTAAGTGAAACGTGCAGTTGTTCAGCAAATCTGGGTTCCCCTCTATTGACTTTGCTTGTCAGAAGCAAGCTGGGAAGCAAGCTGGGGTCACATGACCACAGGGGCATTGCAACCGTCACAACTAAATGGCAGTTACCAAGCGCCTGGATTTTGATCACATGACTCTGGGACAATGCAACCATGATAAACACATGCCAGTTGCTTAAGCGCCCGGAATTTGATCACATGACCCTAGGGATGCTGCACGGGTTGTAAAGTGTGAGAAAACGGTCATAAGTCACTTTTTTCAGTGCTGTCATAACTTCAAACGGTCACTAAATGAATGGTTGTAAGTCAAGGACTACCTGTGTTTCAGAAAAGCATAATTCAGAGCATTTCTGAGCCTGGTCTGTTGACGCTGATATATGGGCACTGAAATCCAGCAATAAAGGTTATGCCCAGCTGGCATATTGGACAATACCCATTATTAGAGATTTCTAAACATATTTCAGCATGTCGTCGTGTATTTGTGTTGATGTATATCCGTGGCCTTTGTTCAAAAGAAAATTTACTAAATCTTCAGAAAACTAAACGTAACTCTCTGTGTTTTGGAGTGTTTGTGTATATGTGTGTTCTTAATTTGCAAATCTGTCTTATCATCTGCTTCTGTCTGCCAGAGCAATGTATAGCTTAACAGTTGAAAACATAGTTTGGGAATAATCAAGATATAAATTATTCTGCAATGTATGTGGTTTTTTTAAAACAGTGGAACAGGAGAGAGAATGCCTACCTGGGTTTCTTTTAGTCTATGCTATTTTTTGTTTTAATTATTTGTCGAAGAAAAATTACAAATTCGAAGAAGCAAAAAGGAAAAAAAACTAAAACGTGACAGGGATGAGAGCCACGCTAGTGCACTTAACACACTTTGTTGTTAGTTGCGAAGTCGTGTCCGACCCATCGCGACCCCATGGACAACGTTCCTCCAGGCCTTCCTCTGGAGTCCATTTAAGCTCAATTCCGACTGCTTCAATGACTCCATCCAGCCACCTCCTTCTCTGTCGCCCCCTTCTTCTTTTGCCACTTACAAACTTAGGAACCCCTTAAATATGGAAAACGTTCCACAGAAGTTGTTAGGATTAAAAATTGTGGAAGTTAGTAGCTGAGACAACTGAATCGAGTCACATACCCCAGACTTCAACAGCTCCATAATTCTTCATGAAATTTGTTACACTGGGTCCTGATATTGTTGGACGCACAAAATGAATTACAAATTAAAATAGCCTTTTGTGCAAATTTCACTTCTGTCTTTTACTGATCAAAGTTATTTTAGCAAATTCCACCGGTTTTGCTTTTTTTTCCCCACGCAGCCATTTTTCCCCATCTGCAAAATGGGTTTAATATCATGCACTCGAAGAGTTAGAGTTCCGCAATGCAGTTTCAAGTGCTTGAAACCTCTTTCCAGATGCCAAGGGGCTAATGGAAGCTGGGATTCTTGCTCAGAGTAATCCCATTAACAGGGCTCTCTGGAAAGCCGTGAATCTTAGATTAAGCTCGTCACCAATTTTAATTTAATTTCAGTAGGTAATAATTATTACTTCAGAAAAAGAGACTTAAGAATCTGCAGGGCTGCAGACTGGGAAAAAAAAATCCATGCTCGTGGAATTAAAATTATTAATACAATTCCTGACCTTTTAAAGACCGGCTCAGATTATTATTATTTTTTAAAAAGGTAGAAATAAATAAATAAATAGTCACATGGACGAAATCCAAAATCTGGCCCTGTCTGGATCAGCTGATCTGCCAGCTGCGGGCCAAGATTAAGGGGCCTCCTGCACCTCAAAATTAATAAGACCTCCACAAAAATAAGGCCAAGCGCTTATTTTGGGGGTGAAAAGAAAATAAGACCCTGTCTTATTTTCGGGGAAACACGGTGTATTTTTTTTTAAAGAAAAGGTGAAACTAACCAGAGGTAGAAGCTCCATTGATAGTAATCTGTATCAGTAGTCACCTTGATAGTTTTGATGGGGATGTGGTTTCCTCCATGGAGTGGAAACTACACCAAAGAGGAAACCACACCTCCACCAAAACTGGCAGGGCAAACTATTGCGTACCGTAAAAACAGACAGCAAACCCAACACACTCCCTCATCCTGGTGCAGTTATCTAGTTGGGTACAGAGATCCCTGCGAGCTCCCACCAAGGAACTTGCAAGGTATGAGTCGCCAAGCTCAGAGACCATCAAGAATTCTGCATTCCCACCATGAGCCACACATATTATTGGAGTCTTTTCTTAGCTCTTCATACAGTATGTCCATGGGCTTTTGATATGTTCATGGTTAGTATGTCATGCTAACCCATAAAATAATCTGAAAAGGGGCAAACCCAGTCATTCGACCCTCATTTATCATATGATTCAGAGGTGAAGTTTAGCATGAATCGCAGTGGCACAATAGTTAAAGTGCAATACTGCAGCCTGCTTGCTTCTGCTGACTGCCGGCTGACCGCAGTTTGGCAGTTCGAATCCCACCAGGCTCAAGGTTGACTCAACCTTCCATCTTTCCGAGGTGGGTAATATGAAGACCCAGATTGTTGGGGGCAAGAGGCTGACTCTGTTAAACCACTTAGAGAAAGCACTGTGAAGCAGTATATAAATCTTAAGTGCTATTGCTATTAAATGAACCACAAGTAGCCCTCAACTTACAATCACAATTGGGACCCAGAATTTCACCAAGCAAGCCGATTGTTGAAAGAGCTATGCTCAATTTTACAGCTTTTTTTTTAACCACTTATCACTGCAGTTACTACAAAAATCATGAATGTGACTTTCCTCACTGACCGTGTTTGTCAGCTGGGAAGGTCGCAAACGGGAATCCGATGACCCTGGGATGCTGCAACCATCATACCAGGGTTGAGGGTTGTTGCTGTGGCTTGTTGTAGTCCACAAACCCCATGAAGCAACCTTGTTCTATCAGCGCAGCCACTTGTACCAGCCCTAGGGAGGGACTTAAATTCTCTATCCCTCTTGCCACCGCTTGTAGGCATGGGCCAAAATAACACATCGAGAACTTTTTGTTGATAACAACCATACGGGGCTTGGCATCCTTTTCTTGATCTTTTGGGGATGTTTGCTCAGGATCTTAAGTGGCAAACAGATATTCTTCTAGCATTACAAAAAGAAAAAATGTCATAAGTATAAAACGAATTATTCTTCCTCCTGTTTCGATGTACTTTGAGGTTTCGGTGACCACTGACGCTCCTTTGAAATTCATTTTCAGTTCTGCTTAAAACTGTTTAAACCCTGCTTATCAAGTTCCTTAACTGACTATCCAGTCCCCGCTCCGCCCCAAGAATGTTGGAGGTCACCAAGCAGCACATTACTGCATTGAAGCACATTGTTCTTCTAATTCTGGTGGAGCGATTCTTTTAATTTGGGCCTCTTGGTTTGGTAATACAGCTAATGGTTCTCTAAAGTAGTGGGACCAATTAGTTCCCCTCTTGTTTTGAATTCAGCCCCGTTCAGAGTTGAGGAAGAGGGTGGGATGAGGACAGAGCCTGATACCAACAAAACAGCTAACCTTCAAAACCTGCAATCTGCAGATTTAATTTTGAACAACAAATTGCCCTAGAAAAACTAGAGCCAACATCATTCGAAGCTCCCTATCCAATTCCTATCCCCATCCAATTTTTGTGTGCTTCTATCTTCGAACGTCTATATGCCAAACCAAGTGAGGTTTTTCTCCTTTATTTTACTGACACCCCCCCACCCAAAAGTGAGTCTCTAACTCGTTTCGTGAGCTCTTTTGTTTTTCCTGACCCCCTTCTTTTTGTGCCCCGTCTGTCCTCTGCCGGTCTCCTAATACGTCCTGTGATTTGAACCTGCTGTTTAGAATGTCCTTCTCGTCTAACCTTAACCATTACGGGATGGTCCACGTGGCCAGCGTGAGCGACGTTCTCCTGGACAATTCTTTCACCCCACCGTGCCAGCGTATGGGAGGCATGGTTTCCTTCCGAACCTTTGAAGACTTCGTCCGGTAAGCAATGGGGCAGAACTAAAACTAGGATAGGATTTCTTGTTTTCCATCGCTGCTGCTGTGCTTCTTCTCCTTCTCCTCCTCCTCCTCCTCCTCCTCCTCCTCCTCTTTCTTCTTCTTCTCTTTCTCCTTCTCCTCCTCCTGCTTCTTTTTCTCCTCCTCCCCCCTCTCTTTCTCCTTCTCCTCCTCTCCCTTCTTCTTCTTCTTCTTCTTCTTCTTCTTCTTCTTCTTCTTCTTCTTCTTCTTCTTCTTCTTCTTCTT